ATGACTTTGCATTAACTGTGAGAGGACTATGAGGATCCTTTGCTTTGCTTTATTTTGAGAGCTTATGATACGGGCCCTCCGGTTGTCACCATCTCCAGCTCTCGTGAAGTTTATAAGGGCCGAGTTAACGTCAGATTCCGTGCATAATGAAGTCATGCAGTCCGTTGGGACATTCAGTGGTTCCCCTTTTGCTTGGAAGGAACTGAACTTCGGCCCACCTTTCTTAGCGTTCTGGTATTATTTGTGTTTTTAGGAAACCCGAGTCCGCTTCTTCGATTTGTGAGATGTCTGCCGGCCGAACTTGTTCCGTGTCCGAGAGTGGTTAACGGTCCCGCCAAGGCCCGTGGACGCCCGGTCATCTTTCTTGTTTGATGCTTCGCCTAAGATGACCTCATTTTTCTACGTCTACGCATCGGTTGATTCAATATGATGGATAAATTGGCAAACACAAGCTCTTTCGCGTGTAATACACCATCCATCAAACTACCCCCACATTAAGACACATAAGAAATTCAGAAGATTTTCAGTACGAAATAAGTAAATCGATACGAATGTAGGCTTCACGTCTTCCTGCTTGAAGAAAGTCGTCTTAAATTAAATAAGAAGCCTGTCATTAGAAAGATCATATAGGCAACACGCTGTACTTGCATCAGTGGGAAACCCAACACTAAACAATAAACCATCTTAAAATTAACAGGTGGGTCGGTAATGAAATGTAAAAATCTTTTTTAAACGATATAAAGACTCAGCCATTTTGAGCTCCTTCCGCGGTTCATAGCAGATTCAGGGAGAACAGAGCCATTATGAGTTTCGGATGAGAGCCAAGTTTGGAGCCTGGAATTCCAGTTGCGAGAACTGCTGGAGGAGGGAGAATGCGCATCAGTAGATTTTCTTAAAGCCATATAATCCACACGTCCAAGTTTTGGCGTCCCAAATTTGGATGATATATAGTCTTCGCTTGAACTATTTTAAAGTACCGTATATACTACACAGAGGTAGAGAAAAAAATACTCCAGCTCAAAGGACTTGCGATTCGAAACCTTTTAATTTACAGCCCACAGCCAGCAGTTAAGCACTTTCCGTATTCCAGCCTGGCAGATAATAATGTATTTACTAAAAAATGGTATTCAACTTTGGCCGTCGTCGGCGTTGATCCTTGACTTGCTTGTCGCCCAGTTCCAAATTTTTTCCAAAACCTTTAAAATTGTGCTTCGCAGTTTGAGCTGT